TTTACTTCTAAATAGTTTTTAATGTACTTAAGAGGAAAGAAGTACTTTAAATTGTTGTATATCAATAAAGGCCGATTCTGCGAAAATCAGCCTTCGTATTAACATCGCAAAGACTAAATCTATGCATTTGAAGATGTTGGAGGATTTGAGTATCTTGGAAACACACTAACATCTGAAGGTGGAACAGATGCAATAAATAAAAGAATAACGAAGGCTAGTGGTACCTTGTCCGCTCTTTAGTGGGTATGGTCAAATAAAACAATAAAACAAGAAACCAAAATTCAAATATTTAAATCCTGCGTCAAGTCAGTGCTAGTCTCCGGCAGCAAAACCCGGCGCTTAAAACAAGAAGCGATTCGAAAACTACAAACGTTTACAATACGATAACTAACGCTCGTTTGTGGCAAATATTTAAATAAATCGCTATTGAGGAAGAAATAGTGCGGAAGAATACAAATGGGTTGAACATACCCTTCGGAAGACTAAGTTTTTAATATACCCATAGTTAATGTAATGTTAGAACACGCCAATAATAATAATAACAATAAAGATGAAGTAATAATTTAAATAAAAAATAATTTTTGGAGCATATCTTACAACTGAAATTTGTTTTATGTTTTATGATGATTTTAGATTTGATTTACTAATTCATTACTATTTAAAAAAAAAAAATTTGGAAATAAAAATTACTAATTTTGTTATACTAAAGTAGAAAAAATGTATTTCATTATAGCAATTTCATTTTCTATTTTATTCTATTTTTTTATATATATTAATTGTCGCGTATTTATTACATTTATATTCATATATAATATATAGTAGATACTTTCATTAACCTCTTAATTAACTATTAACTAGAAAAATTAATTATATTTCAATAAAACTATTTAAATATTTATATATAAATTAAGTTTTTATTTATATATAAATTAAGGAACACCTATTTTTACTTCAACGAGTAACAACAGTGCACGAGTCGTATGAGTTATATTTCAGATGACAACCAATAATAGTAAAACATGCCAGCACATATGCCCAATATAAAAACAACAACTACAACTACAACAAAAGCTAAACTCAACTCAAAATAAAAGTAATTTGTACCTCATAAAAAACATAAAAGAACCACAAACAAAAACAAAAACTACCAAGTTCAATTGTTTTAAAACGATATGCGACGGCATATGTGCAACTAAACACGTAAGCACAAAAACAACAACATGAAAAATGGAATAAATTTTATTACATGCCACCAGATTTACTATAATAAATATGTAACAAAGGAAATAAACACCAACAACAACAAATTATATTAGTAATGCAAATTTCATTCACTAAGCAATAACAATAACAATAAGAGCACAAACATTTAATTTATATGAGTTAAAGCAGTTGGTCCATATATGTGATAAACATATGCGATCTCATTTACTCTTTTTTAATTTAACAGAATAAAATATATTGTTTTTGTGTTTTGTATTTTATGTTTTGTTGTATTGTTTAATATAATATAAAACATATTTTAAATAAAAGGTAAATGTGTATTTGTGAGCACACATATAATGTACAACAAAAAAAACAATAAAATAAAGTAGAATTATATTCAAAGTGAATATATACAAAAACAAAATACATGCTTTGCAAAAATTTTTGCACAACACGCAAACACACACATATGTACGTAAATAAGCATACATTATGAGTATGTGTGTATAAGAATTTAGTTGTGGCTGCTCGGGTAGGGGCCGGACTAACTAATATAAAGGTGGCAAAAATGAAACGAAAAATTAATATGGCGAAAATTGCTTATACTGCATGCAGTTAGCTCGCAATGCACAAGGTACTTGCTTTGAAGACAACGTTGCGCTCATATATGAAATTAGCGCAAAAAAATGGCTAAAAATATACACGCTCTTTAGAAACAAAATTTCGACAAAACATTTTGTCATTGACAAGTGAGTCGTTTGAAGTACACACACAAACACACATTCATAAAATGCACATCTAAACCAAAATCAACAAAACTAAAATTATTTGCTGCTAAGAAAAACAAAATCATATTCATTAAAAGGCGAATTCATTCTTCAACGCTGTTTGTGAGAAATGTAATTTATTTGTAGGCGAATTCGTATGGCATGTGTTTGCCCGATTCGTTTCTCAAAGCGTTCCGTTGTGGGGTTTGTTTACAACTTGCTTGAAAAATGCTCTAACATGAAGTGTTTCTGCAAGCAAGCACATTCACTCACTCACTCACGTTGACTGTGAGACAAAAAAGAGAACAGAAACTTAAGTTGTATTTGCCTGCTTGCTGTGTACGGAGTGTGTAATGTGGCTTTATACTGTATGTGTTTGCGGCAGCAGCAGCGCTACTTCAATTGTTAAGGCAGCATTGTACAATAAATTAATATTAAATTGCTAATTAATAATAATATTTTTATAGAAAAGATTTTTAACAAAGTTCGAATAAGAGAGTGTTGAAATAAAAATATTGAGATATTAGTAGAGAAGTTAGGATATTAAATATAGAATGATTTTTCGTCAACGTGTTCGTTAGGAAGTAAACATAAGTTAAGTTATAGAAATTAATTTTGATTCAATAAATAAAAATATATATATATATTTAGTAATTGATTTATTTAAATTTTCATTAATATGTTAATACATTTTTTTCATTTTATATAAGGGAATTGTTTAAATATACCGGCTATCATGCATTCCATTTTCTTTGAAACCATTTTTGAAAACGGCGGCATTCTTACGCGAGCATATTTAGTCTTTTACTCTTTTTTGTTGCATTCATACACCACACAGAGACTCTTGTCTCACGAGTAGTAAAATTTTGCTCAACGTACTACACAAAACAATAACAATTTTCAATTTTCTCCACGGTTGAGTATTTTTAAAGAAAACTCGCGTTTTACGCGGCGTACAGCGCAGCGTTGTCACACAAAACTTACACAAAATTCAAATGCGAGAGAAAGTCGAAAAACACAAAAACAAAGTCAAATGACACAACGCAATGTGCTTGTGCTGCATGCGAGTATAAACAAAACAAAAGCAAAGTAAGCAAGCAAAATCCAAGCCACAGTATTAGCGACAGCAGCAGCAGCAGCAGAAAGTTTGCGAAAATTAAAGCAGCCAGCATAGAGCAAAGAGAGAGAGAAAGGGTTGTTTCGTGGGTGCTAACGTAGCGAAATGCATAGCGAAAAGCGCACACAGCGCAACAGAGCAACACCAATACATGCAAGACCGGCATAACATGTGTGAAATTCCTTAGCATGCAGTGGCACAAACAGAAAGGAAGATGACTTCGGCATATTTCCGCAAAATTATACAAGGAAAAGAGCGCACGCAATTCAATTGAGCAAATGAGCGTTGCTTTTTTATGCCGCTTATTTTGTTGTTGTTGTTGTTGTTGCTGCTGCTATGGTTGCTGTTGTTGTTATTGTGTAGAACGTAGGGTTTCGTGAAATAGTGCTCCTATTTCTTTTACTTACACGTATTCTTTATAGCGAATTGCACTTGTGCATATAGGCGACTTGTGCAGTCGGCGTAGTCGCAGAGTAATGCATGCATTCGCTGCACTTGTACATGCGTTGCACTTGTCTTCTATATTAGTGTTGCGCTTTGTTGTTGTGTTTTGTTTTGTTTTTGCGCAACAACAGCAACAACTACAAGAACAACTACTCCACTAAATTCTTGCACATGTGATTTTTTTCTTTATAGCAGTTAGTTCCGTTGTTGTTTGTAGGGGAGCAGCAAATAAAGGAAAGCGAATGTTCGTTCCATTGCTAAAATAGCGCCATAGTTAAAGTCGCCGTCATCGACATCGCCATCGCCATTGCCATCGCCATCGGTGCCGTATAGTTATCATAATTGTTGTTGTAATAGTTGTTGTTGCTTTTACTCTTCTTATGTCAGCTACAACAATGTAGATGTCGTAGTCGTTGTCGTTGTCGTTGCCGATGTCGTCGTCTACTACTCGTAGCACAACAAAGTTGCACTAGCGAATCTGAAACGAAAATCGTACACATATGCACAAACATTCTTACTCAAACATACATGAGTTGAGCATGCAAGCACACACACATACACACACACACATTCACATACATATATACATATCGACATGTACACAATTTGGTAAAAACTTATACGTTTATTACGTACATACTTACGTACAATTGATACGTCGTCGTCGTCGTCGTAGTCGTTGTGCAAAACTGCTTTAGTTGTGCTTGGCTTTGGCTTGCTTGCCTTTGCTTGCTTGCCTGCTTGCTTGTTGGCTGACTAAAGCTGCTGTTGCTGGTTTCGTTGCTGTTATTATTGCTCTTGTTGTTGTAGTGATGTTGTTGTTGTTGTGTTGTTGGTTGCTTCAGTTTTTCCGCAGTTAAGTTTTTGTGTTTCAGTGTTTTTCCGTATCAAAATGTGCAAAACGATTTCAGTCTAATTCAGACGGTCGTGCTGAGAAGACTTTTGTTCAAAACGAAAATCGAAAATACCGAGATTGCGAGATTGCGAAATTGCGAACTTGCGAAGTTGCGAAACTGCGAAAACTGTTCACCAAAACTAAATCAGACACGTTAATTGCAATTACGACGACAACGTAAAATACGTAAAATACGTAAATACGCACGCAAACCTTTTTGGTTACTGTTATTCCAATTATTCTACGTTACGTACAAGCGCCACTGTTATTTAGAGTATTTGTTTATATTTATGAATTTTTGGGGGGATAACTAACACAACAACAACAACTACAATAACAAAAAAAACAAAAACAACACTAATAATAACGCGGCAAAGTAAACAGACCAACCAACAATAGACGAAAGTATTGGCTGTGATACGAGATATGACGAGCAGCACCAACAACGCAAGCAACAACAATCGCAACACCGTTAGATCGCGCTTTAGAAAGTGCACGTAAAGAATAAAAACAAAAAAAAATAGCAGAACAGCAACTACAACAACAAAAACAACAACAATAGGAACTTTTTGAAAAGAGCGCGTAGCATGCGTTACGTTTTTCGTATTGCGAGTGGCAAATTTTGAATTTTGTTTTATAGTTTGCGGTGTATTTCCGGTTGACGTTGTCGCTGTCGCTGTCGTTGTCGTTGTCGTAGTCGTTTTATGTTAATAAAATTATTGCTGTTAATGCATTGGTAGTTGTGGTGGTAAGACTATTGGTGCTGTGTTGGGGTGTGTGTGTGTTGAATTAGTACTTTACGCACACGTGTGTGTAGAGTTAATCTTTGTTGTGAGTGCGTGTGTGTGAGAGATGGTAGCTGCATTGAAAACGGCAAGCAATAAAAATAATTAGTAAATGCAATGAAATTAAAAACAAATTATCATTATAATATGTAAAATTATAGTTAACCTACAGCCCCGTGAAATCCGCCTGCAAACTAATTTTATATTATGCATATTTAAAACACAAAAAAAATCTTAACAATAAACCGTAAATTACACATAAAATAGTTAATAAAAACTTATCAACCTTACAATAATATTGACCTAAAATGGCCTCAAACTCACCACCAAACACTTCACCACAAGCAATTGCCGGACATGCAGCTGACAGCTCTTCACCATTTCGTAAATTATTTGAGTCCACCACTGTAGTGACTAAACAAGAGCGGGAATCATCACCACAGCCTGCACATTCGTTACATTCACCAACGAATACGTCAACAGTATTACCGAGCATAATGGCTTCATTTACAACGCCTGAATGTCAACTTAACACGCCGCCACCTATTGCAAGTACGACTGATCAACGTGGAGAGGTGAGCCCTTCACGCAACTCACCCTGTACAGCTACGACACCCACACCAGTTGTGGCAACAAACAATAGTAGAGCAAATACGCCCATATGCGAACTTGGTTCACCCACACATTCTGTGCCCTCCTCTACCGGTTCGGTTTCAATTGCGCCACAACAATTCTGCTTACGTTGGAATAACTACCAAAGTAATCTTACTAGCGTTTTTGATCAGTTGCTACAAAGCGAATCCTTCGTAGATGTCACACTGGCCTGCGACGGTCGTTCCATTAAAGCGCATAAAATGGTGCTTTCGGCTTGTTCACCATACTTTCAAACTTTACTCACAGACACGCCCTGCCAACATCCTATAGTGATAATGCGTGATGTTAGTTGGACAGATTTGAAAGCGATCGTAGAATTTATGTACAAAGGTGAGATCAATGTGAGTCAGGAACAAATTGGACCTCTATTACGCATTGCGGAAATGTTGAAAGTACGTGGTTTGGCAGATGTGCGCGGTGGTAATAATTATGATTCCTCAGAAACTGATAAAGAGCTCAATAGTACCGATATACAGTTACAGCAACAGAAGTGTACTCCCAACAAAACAATTTCCTCGCCACAAGGCACAACCTCAACACCATCTCCAAAACAAGTACAGTCACGTTTACAAACTGCAGAACAACACGATTCGGATGCCTATCTCGACTTCGTTGAACCTGAGAAGAAAATGCGCCTAACACAAAGTGACTGGGAGCTTGGCAGTAGCAGTAATAATAATACCACTGGTGCTGACAAAAATCTGGAAATGCGTCTTTCACCACTACATCAAGCTGCGCAGGCTGCAGCACGTAACATACGCAAACGTCGCTGGCCATCTGTAGATACGCTATTTAATCCGCCCACAAGTCCACTTAGTAGTCTAATTGCTGCAGAACGAGCTGAGATAGAGCGACATCGAGAGCGTGAACGGGAGCGGGAACGTGAACGTGAGCGACAGCGCTCGTTAATGACACCTCCGACTATACCCACAACAAGTTGTACTGCGGAAGCTACTGCACAGCTGAGTAGTAGCACACGTCTAACACCATCGGTATTGGAAGCAGTTTCACGCCTTGAAATACCATCTCCATCGCCCACTCCTACACCAAATTTGCTAGCCCCGAATCGCACCCCAAGCAGTACACTCACACCAAGCCCTCAATTGTTACAACAACAAGGTCACTCACATCATCATTCCCAAACACATACACATCAGCAACATCATCACTCACATCGTACTTCTCCCGCCTCATCAGCGACATCCACAACACATCCTTCGAGCGTGATCAGTGGTGGACCACTAACTCCTTCATCAGCCACCAGTGCAGTTGGACCTTCGCGTGGTGTTGAGAGCATGCATGCGGACTCGCGCTTTCCTTTGGGACCCGCACAAGCAGCTGCAATGGCCGCTGCAGCCGCTGCTGCACATATGGATCTAAGCACTGCTGCAGCAATGGGTATGGCACACCCACCTCGACCACCACCGCCGCCACCCCATCACTCAACATCCATAGTTGATGATTTGGAAATAAAACCCGGCATAGCTGAAATGATACGTGAAGAAGAGCGGGTAAGTTTTTTCAAACAAACTATTTCATTCATAAATTCTTACTCAATATTGTGTGTGTGACGTCAGTGTTTGTCGCATACCTAAGCTAACCATTAAATTTGTTTCTCTCTTTGTGTATGTGTGTGTATATATTTACACTGTACTGATCGGCATTGTGTGATTATCTGCGCGAAATCGCCATAACCACAAGTGCTACACAAATCTGGCAAGTGTGAACGTCATTTTCATTTCATTCATCTTTTTTTTCTTCTCGTTTGCTTTGATTTTAATCGCTGCCTCAGACCCGCTGTCGGTGTCCCCAACGAGATCGTCATTAATGCTAAGGCGGCGTTGCTATTTGTATTTGTGTTTGTGTGTTTGTGTGTGCGTTGTGCGCTGTGGTGCTTTTTGTTTTGATTCTTGTTTCGCGCGCGTGAGTACGCCACTTTGTAGAGCATGTAACCAAATGGGTAGGTCTCGGCCTTTGACGAGATCATTTGTCTTTGTTGCGGCAGCGTTGAGTGAGCGCGAGCAATGCAGAATTTCCAACTGGCAAAGTGGCAACCACAATTCCACTATACAACAACAACTGTAACAACAACAACAACAACAATATAGCCGATCAAAATAATGTTGCTGATGGCGTCACACAACAAATCGTTATTGTTGTTGCGGTCTTTGTAGTCGCGAGTCTAAATGGGCACATTAAATGCGAATGCTTCATTGTGTATTTTGCCGAATGATTGACATCTCTCACGTGACTCGGCAGTTGTTCAGTTGTTCAGTTGTTCAGCGGTGAAGTGTTTGTTCACCAGCGAATTCGAGTGAAGAAGGAAGGAAGAAATGAATGGAAGTGAATGAATGTGTAAATTTTTACTTATTTTCTTCGGCTGTTGACTTGACAATGAGCACTGACCGCAAGTACAAGTAAAGCGGAAAAAGATAGAAACACCGAGGAGATGTCATAATAATCTTTTTGTTGTCCAAGGTTAAGAAAAACTTTAAAGTTCGATATTTTCAAAATTTGATAAATAATTTCGAATATTAGGAATTTTATATATTTGTAAAAAAATTTTTATTTCTTCAAATAATTTTGCTTGTAAAATTTATTCATACACGGACATTGCATTTTACCGACGGCGAAACAATAAAGCAATGTAAATGCCCACGAAAGCCGTTATTTAGTTTCCAAGCAATGAAGTTGTACTCTTTGGATACCAGTACTTTGATTGATTAAGGGTTCAGCCGTAGAAGTCCTTTCCGAACTCTTTTTTTGTTATCATAAAAATATGTTGTGGTTTTTATTTTTACTTAATTTCTTTATAATTGATAATTAGGTAAGGACCATTTTATGGCAAATGTCCTGGCTGACGTATTTCAACACATACTTTTGATATATAATTATATTTAAAAAAAGTTAGGCTAAAAGCCACACCCTTAAATTCATCATTATTAAATAAAATACTGTCATCAAAATCAAACTTTTATTATTTAAAGTTATTCCGGCAATTTTAGCTAACACTTTCACTTAGACTTTCGTTTATTTTATACTTAAGCTATTTTGAGCACTGCGTGTATGCGTTAGTTAAGTGAAGGGGTTTAGTCAGGTAGTTTATTTGAATAAATATAAATTATCTATGTATAATAACATATACGGCTTTGGATTAGTTGGTTAAGGTGCGCTGATTCTGAGCTTCACATTTGACAGGACCCGAGTTCGATTCCTGGTACTTGCAGTCTCAAAAAGTAATTATTTACGAATAATTAAATACAAGAATTATTTCCAAGATCACTGATGATTAGTATTTGGAAATACTCGAAACATAGTATGGTCAGCCAAAAATTCAATTAATTAAAATAATATAAAAAATAAAATTTTTGTTGTTGTATTTCACTACTGTTCGAAAAAGCCTCTATAGAAATTATTATAAAAAATTATTATGTATTTAGTTATAACTAGTTTTCTTTGTATAGATTATGTAAAATTCACTAGTTCTAAAATTAACAAATTGATAATAGACTTTAATGAACAAAAAGTGCTCAGTAAAAGTGCCCAGATGCACTAACTCGGAAAAGGCTTAATCTAACATATACTTGTTTTCATACACTTGTTCACTAAAACCTATTTCAAATTTACTAATTTACTTTACTAAACGATGTTAAGCAGTTTTTAATAACACTTTTTTCATTATACGGATACTGTGGATAAGTTCTAAAATTGATTATCAGTATTTTTCTAACATTAAAGAGTTCTTTTAAAAAAATTCATTAAATAATAAAGTGCTAGTATGTGTATATTCGGAAGCTGGCGAAAGTTTTATATACATAATATAATTGTTATAAATTTCTATGTAATACAACATAATACAAAATGAAGGAAAATAAAGCTAATACTACTACTATTACTATATTCAAGGAACAATTCAAATAATACAGCCTCTTTTAAACTACCATAATTACCAATCATTTCCTTACCAATCAGTTTTTATCAAATGCTTTTTAGGAATTCATTCAAATTGATCCTACTAAACAGATTCTATTAAGACACGAACTTATATCTTTTCCATAACTTATTAATCACAAGATCAATAAAACCCAATATTTCCTACCGCAAGACCAGGTAATTGATAATTAATACATATTAATTGTAATATTAATAGTTATAATACAAATCATAACAAAAAAATGCAATTATTGTCAATATCATTTGGCTCCGTATCTTTTAGTAAACTTTAGTCTGTATAATAATTGACATCCATTTAGGTTTCTCGAGCATAAATATCATCTAGTCTCTTATGTCCAATTTGATATTTTGGAAATAACTTTATCGTAGTAACTCTTTTTGTTTTCTATTATAATAGAAATATTAAAAAATATCGATTGCATCATGGAAATATTTATTTTTGCTATACGAATCCGGAAATATCTGTAGAACTTCACTTAGTAGTGAAGTAGTGCTAAATTGAAAGACATCTTTCTGTGATTACAGTTAGAACAGGATACAATAATTCATCAATGAACACTGTTTTAAGAACAAATTTTGTTCAATCCTACCAAATGTGATACAACTAATTAAATAATATTTTTTTTATCACCTAAGAGATTCCCAAGTTAATTATTCCATCAATATCTATATTTTAAACATTAATAAAGACTCATATTAAACCATAAACTGTTCGTAAAACCTTGGTTTCAAATCCTAGCATACTTTTCTTAATTACGTGGGAGCCCCCACGTTTCCGAGCCAAAGCAAAGTATTAAGTGAAATAAATTCTTAAAAAAAGCAAGCACTGTTATATACTAATGTGGATATCAGAGTGAGTGTACTGAGATCTATATTATGTGAGTTCAAATTCATCGTCTTTTTTCAATTTTTGCCTCATTACCATTCTCTAACGCTTAACCCAGATATACGATATGTAATAAAATAATATATAGTACATAATATGTAGTAAATAGTAAATAATTTTAAGTCTATTAAAAAGTATATGTAATCACAAAATATAAAACACGATATCTCAAAAATATATCAGGACGAAAAAATGAATTTACGTGCGGTTTTGTTCATGGAAGAAATTTATATTAATACCACCACTAAGACAAACCTATTAGATAACCTAAAGACCTATATATAATTATATTTAATACCATATTAAAATTATACTTGAATCCCACTTTGGCTTAAGGTCATGTGTATTAGACGAAACGCCATTGATTTCATTACAAACCGGCTATTGTCTAGATGGTTTACACTTAGCTCACTGGATATATGAATTTCTTTCTTTACAAAAGGTGGATTGAGGTACAGATGGAGTTTGAATCATAGTGTTTAAGTGTTTAAGATTGAGGTAATTGCATTATTTTATATTGGAAGTATTTGTAGTATCTTATATTTATGTGAGGTATGTTGAAACCTGTTTCGTCATGACAAATGACATTATATAGAAAAAATTTAGTTCTCTAAACGCAATCGGGAATTTGGCACAAGCTACTACAGTAGAGTAAATAACAAACGTTTGACCTTTATATAAGATTTCCACATTAGACCTCATTGTAGACATATTCCCAGACATTTTCCAGAATCAAATTATGTACTTGTAAATTTATTCTGGATAAAAATTCAGAATTTTGTTTAAAGTTAAATGATTTGACATATGTGGCACCAATAGTATATTTATTTCCTTTTTAGTGTGATGGCGATTGATTGACCCTTGTATGAGATATCGATATAATTCCGCAGTGTAGATAAATCGCCGAGTATATTCCGGACTCACATTGTGAAATTCAGTATTGTTTAATCTATATGATAAGATTAATCCACACGAGTACTGATAAATACAGTACTAAATGTCCATAAAGGTCCGAACCATATAGGTACAATCAAAAGGCAGAAAAATGGTTCTTAGCAATATAATATTTAATAATTTATTGCTTAATATTATCTAGATATGTATAATAGAAACTGCTCTACAAACTTGTTTTAATTTTAATACAGTAAGATCAAAACGATGATTTTCTCAAATTCGTATTATTAGATTAATAAAACTTAGTTAGCCTGGAACCCAACGATTTTTGGCGACATTCGCATTACTATAAAAACAAATTGTAGCATTAGAAAATGATTTAAAATACATAGTCAGATAAAGAAAAGCGAAGAGAAATCGATTAATAACTCTTAAAAATATAAGTATTAAAATAAGAAGGATCCTCACCTTTATATTTTTTTTAAAAAACTATCATTATTTCAAATTTGCAGTTTACTTGAAGAAGTAGGCTTAAGGAAATACTTCAGGTCCATAGAGAGGGCATAACATATCTCTAGGTGCAAATTTTCCCAACATAATACAATACTACAATGAGAACTCCATTCCCTCTTGTATGGTTCTTTATAATTTAAGTGGCATGTGTTAGTCTAAGAAGCATTTATATTATATTTCATCTATATGTTTATGACTCATGACGGACTAAATCGTAAAGAATAGTGATAATTTCAAGAGTTTCTTGACTTGGGTCATATATCCGGATAAGGCACCTATGCATAAGTGATATAGGTACAGCTTGTAGTACTTTCAGTAGTAGAAAGAACAATGTAAATGGATTATAGTGCAGCAATCATGCACCAATTTCAAATCAGTATATCAAACGCTTAGATTTAAAGGATTTCCGTAAAATGGGACAGTGATAAATCAACAATATACGTTATAAAACCGGTTTCAACCGCTTTTTTAAACATGTCTTCAGTTTTTCTTAATAATAGGAACTATATATATTCTATCGGTGTTTTGTGTTGCGATCGTGAAAAATAAGAAATTGTACATATGGGACTGTAAAGTAGATATGGGTTCTGCGCTACTTTTTTGCAGTTGCACTGATTCAAATCTGTTTGCGCCATTGCAGATGGCCTTGCACCATCTAGACTATTGTAGATGGACTTATTTCATCTGCACCATTTCAGAGAGAATCACCCCAATGCATAGTGAAAATGACTATTATTATTAAATTCTATATCTATTCTTATTCTTATAATTCTTAATTTTTTTTTAGATAAAATTGATTTAAAATTTAGTTCATATACTATATCATATTTATTTTTTCATAAAATTTTTTCATACACTTAAAATATTAAGTAATTATTTCCGGATTAAAAATATTGTTTGTATTGAATAGTCTCGCAACTTTTGTAAATTATTTAAATTCAATTTAATTCCAAATTTTTTCATAATTTACCAATCATTGATTTGCGTGATAATTAATCATAAAAAAAAAATAATAAAAAATTCAAAACCCTAAGAAACCTTAAAACACTTTCTGCCGACAAAAAACTTAAAATCCTTAATAACATTATAAAAAATATATATATATGAGTCGTAGTATAATTTGGGCAGCAAAAATTATTGATCACATTAACAAAAACTGAGCAGTTCAGTGAACCTGATGCAGCACAAAGACTGCCTAATGATATCCATAAAATGCCATTTACAAATAAAGCGAAGACCGAGACGCAAAAAAATATTTAAATGAAATTTTTATATTTATAAATACTTAAAAAATAACACTCATATAAAAATGCAATTAATCAAAGGAGTCAGATGCTCATAAACGTAAAGAAAAAAGTGCCACAACTGCACAATAATACCGCCGCGCCTGCCGCTCCGACCGCTCACTACGATCGCTTCGATCGCTGCAACCGCTCCAATCTCACAAATTCCATGGCCGATGCACCGCCAACTGACTGACACTTATCTGGTTTTATCTTCTTATAAAAAATGAAATTGATTCTTTTACATTTAAATTGAATGAATGGAACCAGCCGAGGCAACTACACAAAGAATAAACTTCATCTGTCAATATTTGAGTTTTATATGATGCCCAACAAAAAAATAAATTACATAAGAATAAGAACAACAACAACAACACCAACAACAACAACAAGGAGATGAGGCCTAAAAATAAGAAGAAGAAGAAGAAGAAGAAGAGCATAAGATACTTCGGCAGCAGCAGCAGCAGCAGAAGATGCAGAAGATACAATGTCTTCGATGGCATTAGCTGTGCGGGGTATGCTAACGATCCTCAGCGTCACAGAAGCATGTGCCGCCAAATGTATCTGAGACGTTCACATTTTAATAAATAATAAAAATAAAATAAAAATAAAAATAAAAACTAAAAGCAAAAAGAGAAATATTAATAAATGTGTGAATAGAAAACTAAAATAACAAAAAAAAAATTAAAAAAAAAATAATAATAACACAAGAGATGCAAACAATAATAATGCATTTCTGTGTGGAATTTATAAAAACTATTTAAAATTGTATATTATTTAACGAAATAAACAAAAATAAAATAAATTTTAGTGAAATTTTTGAAAGAAGCGCTAACGAGCTCAGCAATATTTTTTTAAGAAAATCACAGGAATTCCTATGATCTCGCGATGATGCTAATGCATTTAAATGCTTTTTAAAGCAGCAACTGCTGTTGATTGCAGCTACAACAACAACAACAACAACAACAGCAGCAGCAGCAATGCTTTGTTTGATTAATGCACTCAGCAAACACAAAGCGTCCATGGATAGATCAATGCTTTTTATGGCAGATCGATCGTTGGAAGAAGATTGGAACAGATGCACGTACTAATGTCAAAGAATGTGTGTTTAGGAATTTTAAATATCACAAATATGCAAAAAAGAATTTTAATTATTTTAATAATAGTTTATAATAAAATCAACAAAAAAAATTATTAGCCATCGTCTCCAAATAATGGAAGTCACTATTAAAGAGCTTTATATTATGGGTATAATAAAATAGAAAAAATCGATTTGAGATTAATATATTTGATAAGTGACCTCTTCTTCTTAGCTTAATCAAACGCGAGTAAATGGTTATCTTTTACGCAATAGCGTCTGTGACAAGTTGGATGATTGACTTTAATAAGAGCTCCATTGAATTCTGATAATAAGTTATTCAGATGATTTTACAGAAGAATATTTTGAAGCTCAGCATATCTTTCTGACGGAATATATATTGCATTTGATTGAAGAGAGTGCAATTCCGATTAGTAATGATTACAGTCCAAGAGATCACCGTTCTCTTTCTTTTTTTTTCCTCTAAGCATTACAGTCTTTCTTAGTACCATTAGTTTTTTGACAATTTATATATGAAAATAGAATAATATAACAAAATAGATTTTATGGAATATTAAAAAAGTATGACGTTCGATATATTAGGTTGACCGACTAATTCAACAAATCATTGAGGGTTTTTCTATAACAAGAAGATTTTACATAGAGAGTATCACTCAATATTCGACATTCTCCATTTCTGATTAACAAAAATCATAATAATGTTGACATACCCAAAAGGAGCATAATATATTGTATAGAGACCAACTCTGAACTCTTAGATTCGTAAGTTCTGAAAAACACCTCACTTCAGAAAAATGGTGCTAGCAATACTCTTATGTTCCACATACCGAATAAGCCCTCACACCTCGGCAAGATGTTACCCCTGGAAATATGGTCCAAGGCATAGATCAATATTTTCACAATCGTTTCGTTTCATTTTTAAAAGTAAAATTCAATGATTCTTCAAGCACTTACACCTTGTTTGGTGTTTTGGCCTGCTACGTCGTTCCATCTTTTGTACGAACAGCGTTTTGCTACATTTACCAATCGGTGCCAATGAAAGTGATTGTTCTGTCACTTACTTTCTGAGCTAGCCACATCGATTGATTGCTTCTATGTTTTGCTCCGATGGAATTATAAAGCTATATTTTTTTTTAAAAATATACCAAAAAACGGATAATACTTTTTATATCATCCAATATTTCTTGTTTTTTCCAAACTTAAAAAACTTTTCCATTTAGGTAACTTACGATTCTTTAGCATTATTCCGTGATGTAAAAATATGTTCTTATTGGGTAGCCATCAATTTTTTTATAATTTCTATTTATTATTATTTGAATCCCTTTATATAGCTATGTTCTACAATTAAAAATCTTCTTAGTACTCATATAAAAAGAATATTTCTCCTAGAAATGACCACCTCTTATTGATAGGGATAGTTGTTAGGCTTATTTCTCCTAGAAATGACCACTTGTAATCGCCAGGGATATTTCTCTTAGAAATTACCACCTCTCATTGCCAGGGGTAGTTGTAAGGCATATTTCTCCTGGAAATGACCATCTGTCATTGCCAGGGATACTCCTCTTGTAAATAACCACCTGTTATTGTCAGTGATATTTCTCTTATAATTGATTGCCTGTCTATACTAGGGATATATCTCCTTGAAATGACCACCTATCATCGCCAGGGATATTCCTCTTGTAAATGACCACCTATCATTGTCAGTGATATTTCTCTTATATTTGATCACTTGTCAATACTAGGGATATATCATTATGAAATGACCACCTATTATTGCCAGAAATATTTCTCCTACAAATCATCAACTGTCAATGTCAGCTTAAGAGTTTTTTTAATGATATATGTACTCATCCTTATTAAGATTTTCAACAATCTTGTCATTAATTTTACTTCGTTTGAATTCAAAGCACCTCTATGCATTTCAACTTTTACTAAGTTCTTTTTATGAAAATTAGATCCTTTATTTGTAAACAATGCCAACTCCTCTTTGTGAATGTAAATGAGCGCAATTCTGCCATCCTTACCATAATTTGATATGTACTATTTTCTTCCTAATAATTTCTATAATTTCTATAATTAAGCACCAAATATTTGTTTAAATATGCATAGAACATGAAAGAAAATCTATTACAAATTTTCACACGAATTACATCACCTAAAAGGAGCAGGAATTCTGTTTCGAGGAAGAAAAAAAAATTAATAAAAACATCATAAGTACAACTTCACTACGATGTTAAAAACTTAAGTCCTTTGAAAGTGCACAAAACGTTTAGCAAATACAAAAAAATTACTACGACGAAATAAAAATAAAAGTTAAAAAGAAAAGTTGGATTGAGAAGAATATCAGTGGAATCCTTAAAATACTCATTCCTGTCATTTAACGCACAATAATGAACCAAGAACCACCACAAGTGCGCACATATAAAGAACAATCAACAGCAGCAACAACAACAATCATATGAACATCCTTGCAATCTAAATCTCAATCCCACCACCATCGTCACCATCATCACCATCACCATCACCAACACCAACATCGTCATCACCACCAGTACCAGCAGCAGCAGCAGCAACGGCAGCAGCAGTAGTAGTGGCAGCAATATCAGTACCAACCAACATTGCTATCATCATCCACCAACATCAACATCAACACAAACGGCAACAGCAATGGCAACAGCAATGACAACGACGACGACAACGGCTGCCACACTCAATTCAAAAGAAGAAGGAAGCCAACAATCCACTTAACCCAAACGATGACAAAAGTCATTACACTCTCGTCACTTTGGCTTCTTTGGTCTTTGGATTTGACTTTGGTGTCGCTATTGACGGTATTTTATACTCTGCCGCTACCGCTATCGCTGCCTTCTTCTTCTTCTACTGCTACTTCGACTACTTGACGTTCATCTTCAGCTGCGTCTAAATCTATTGTCCCTGTTGCTGTTTTCAGGATTTACTCGCTTGTGAGATGCTCGCCTGGTGTCAGTGTAAATTGGTATAAAATGTACGAACAAAGGCACTACACACTCACACACATTTTTATTAACCCACAAGCACAGTTTGTAACAGCATCTGCAGCTGAGCGAGTATCTGTACGGGCATCTTTACGTGTATCTGAACAACAAAGTAGAAAAGTAGCTAGAATTGTTTTCTTTTCTTTTTTATTTGTTGTTTGTTGTTGTTGTAGTTGTTGTTGGTTTCTTTTTTTTGTTTTTTTTTCTGAAATTTAATAAATAAAATAAATAATCAAATATATTTTATCTCCGTCTATATGTACGTACCTATGTTATGTGCATACAAATGTCTGTCCATAAATTATATTTATTTAAACATGTGTATCTGTATGTCTTCATAAAAATGTCTATAATAAGGTATGAAAAATATTGTATCTGCAGCAGCTCAAAATATAAAAAATGTGCTTATTTAAAAATATAAAATATAAAATTTTGTGTGGAACTCATAATCTTTTTTGATGTACGAGGTACGTCGTTCACGGATATGCGATATATATTAATAAATAAATAAAGAAAAAGATGTAAGTAAATAAATATGATTTTTGTATGGTGCAACGAATTAGCTACAGTGGGGAGAAAACATAAGGGTGAAGGCAATTATTTTATAAAATAAATACGATTATTTCTTCGGAGAAAGTATAAGAATTTTCTAAGGGTGCATTGGCTATAAGCATTGTTAAGGTAAAGGGCTATGTGAATAAGGACTACTCAAGCGGATTAAGTGAATTTTGTTTTTATTTAAATAATTTTTTATTGCATATTAGAAAATATATATCTCAACTATTTTTAATGGACAAACTGGCATTATGTGTTTTTTTTTTTGTATTTTAAGTCGCATTATTGTTATGTGTTCGAAGGAGATTTTTATGAGGTTTCCTTGGGATTAAATTTTTTAATAAATTACATCTATTTAATATATAAAAAAAGGATTCAAGAAAAATTATTAGCCTTTTTGGTAAATAAGTTTTAAATTGTGGGTAGTTTCATTATAAGCAGAGTGGAAGCAGTATTTCAATAAAATAGAATTTAATGAGAATAATTTTTAACTTAAAATAAGATAATTTTATTTATATTATTTATTTATACTATATATATTTTAAAATAAATAATACATTTATTTACTTTTATAATTTTATTATTTTATCTATTTTAATAAAGTGTTTGTTTAGGACATTGAATTTCCATAAAGATATAAACGCAACACCTTCATCAATTAAGTGACTTCAGTGGAAGATTTCACTGAATAACGATTAGATTGCACTTCTCTAATATCGTGAACTTGAACTAAATATTAATTATAAAGTTAATAACATCCAATATGATTCGGTTTTTAACTTTGATATGGTATGGTATGGTATGGCTTTTAACTTTGAAACGTTAGGTTCCAAACTGTATTCCTGTCGTGTTCTACCATTCTACCATTCAGATCTTGAAAAGTTGAATTGTTGATCTTACCTCACGGCTTGATATTATTGTTGTAGATCAACAAAGGCGTTATATTCATAACATGTAGACATTATGAAATATATTATGTGATATGGTTGTTAGATCTATAAGAGTGATTATAACCCACATTAATCTATCAATATAATGTGAAAATATGCTTCTTAACACTTAAATATGCTTCTTACCTCACAAATTGATCCAATAACAATCCTAGCAATCCAGACTGGCCTATTGACCCATTATGTTGATATAGTTGTTAACCATTTTTACAAAAGAGAGTTATTGGTAAATATCAGTGAACCTACCTTACAGCTTGAAACTATTGATGCAGAACAATATTTAGAAACACATTATGTGATATGAATGTTAACTAATTCTATAATGGTAATATACATAATGATTATAATTGTAATTCTACCGATCCACATTGGTGTATTCATCCTCTGTTTAGATATGATTGTTGACCGTTATTGTAAAAGAGAAATATTAATAGAAATTGGAGACCTTACCTCACAGTTTAATTGCAGTGATA